ACCTCCTCGTTCTTTTAAATATCCTGTGTCACGAAGTCTAATAACTAAATTTACAAACATACGTGGGGCCGGATGATTTCTTAGAGGAAACCTTTCCGCATACAACCTGCATGCTGCGGATGCATTTTAAATACTAGAAAATAGTCAAACAAAAAAAAACAAAAAAAAAATCACATGAGCACAAGAAAAACTGAACTAAATGGACTCCAGCAGCTGACTTTTCATTAATTTCTTAAAAGAAACATCCAGTTTGGATCGATAGCCGCTGTTGACTGCATTGTAATGCTTGACAGCATTATAGGTGTAACTTCTTTCAAAGACCGAGGTATTGTGAGGGGGCATGTTAAAATTAGCATTAAATCTAATAGCTCTGGTAACAAAACTACCTCGGTAAACTAATTTGCTAGAGAGGTAAGCTGGTCTGTTAGATAATATAACTTTATGCGTGAAGACGGTCAAAATATATAAAAATAACTTATCAATTCGCAACCAGTTGAGTTCTTTGATTTTATCTGAGACGCGACTAAACTTGCGCAATCCAAAAATAAACCTACAACAGCTGTTCTGAATTTTCTGGAGTTTCCTTTTGTGGACGTAGTCTAAACATGGGTAATACAGAACAAGAGAGTAAGAAATGACAGACAACACAAGACTTTCAGCAAGCTTTTTTCGGGTTTTAAAATTCAAGATGTATCGATTAGAATAGAGGAGTTTCAAACGCAAATACGTTACTCTAGATAAGAAAGAGACATACAGATCGAATCTCATATTTAAGTCAAGGGTAACACCGAGATTCTTGGCGTAATCCACAAAAGGGATGAGTGTCTCATCCAAACAAACACAAATCCTCTGCTTCATTTCACGGTAGGAGTTCTTCGAACAGTACAACATTGCAGTAGTTTTATTAGGATTGATCTTCAAGCAGTGTTTGTTACAGTAATCACCGATGTTAGCCAAATCTAAATTAACTTTAAAAGAAACTTCATCAACCTTTGATGGATCGAAACCACACTAACTGAGTATCATCTGCATAACTTTGCATACTACAGTGGACTAAACAGTCTTGCAGATCGATCGTATAAATCAGATATAGTAAGGGACCTAATACTGAGCCCTGAGGAACTCCTGAAGGAACTGGCTCAGAGGAGGAAATTCCCTGATCAGTTTTCACTGTTTGTTGACGATTTAGCAAGTATGACTCAAAGAACCTTAGAACTATATCTGACATTCCATAATGAGATAACTTACTCAGTAGTATCCGGTGATTGACCATATCAAAGGCTTTCGAGAAATCTAACAGTACCAAGACGGTGTTGATGTGATTATCTAAATTGTGAATGATGGAATGAGTAAGATGTAATAAAGACGAAGTAGTGCTGTAACCAGCTCTGAAACCTGACTGATGTAGAGGAAATAAGTGGTTTTGGTGAGAGATTATATTGACGATGTCTTGCTGAGTAAGGAGTTTAAAAGCAAACAGAGGTGCATCCGGTGTATGACGACTATCGCTATAAGAGTTAGAGACACTATCAATCAAATTTGTATCAGCTGCAGCTGTCTGGAAAATTGAAAGAAAATAATTATTTAAAATGTTAGGCTCAAGGAGACTGGGAGGTATCGCAACATGTTTCTGGGCTACCACATTCATCCTCCTCAGGTGTTTCCAAGCTTGACTAGAGTTAAGATTCCGGAAACGTGACATATATGCTTTTTTCTCTCTTCTAAGCGATGCAAGGGCATAATTTCTCAAATCTTTGTAGCTGGCCCAATTCTGATCAGATCTGTTATGCTGATAGACAGCGAATGCCTCATCTCTGAGTTGAAAAATCATTTTCAAGTTAGGAGTGAGCCAGGGCGCAGCAGGTTTTGTGACACGTACTGTACGTAGCGGAGCGTAGAGATCGAATAGATAAAGAAGACGGCCAGTAAAAATAGAGACTTTAATATCCACATCATTCACGAAATAAATGTCATTAAGCTGCATTGATGCAATCTGCGTCTTAAAACTTTGAATATCAATGCTATTAAGATTTCTCTATGTTACAAATTTAGGCTCTATTTTTTTATAACAAACGGAAATATCACAGTATGTGAGCCGATGAACACTAATTGAGTCTGCATTGAGTGTCCCTGATCTTTTGACGATAGTATTGTCACTAACAAATATTGGATCAAGTAATGTGGAACTGAAGGCTGTAACACGTGTAGGCTCATCAATGACTTGAATGAAATTGAATGAATCAAAGCAGCTGCTGAGGATGTTGTTATGAGCAAGCAAGTCGTCATTCATATCGCCCAAGAATATAATGTTGTCATATTGGGGAGTGAAAAATGAGATAAGATTTTCTAAACACTGGATGGCTTGATGTAAAGAGCAATGTGGTGGCCTATACATAACAACAATTAACATACTGGACCCGTGCAGTTTAAATTTATAGCATAACATTTCAAGAGGATTTATAAAGTCATCGAGCTCAACTGGGATAAGATTAGTGCTAATTTCTAATTTAACATAGAGACCGATGCCACCCCCTCTGCTCCCACGGTCCTTACGGAAGAAATTATACCCAAGTATATTGACTACAGTGCTGTCAATACTGGAATGCAGCCATGTTTCAGTGACTGCTACAACATCAAACTTATATTGAACAAGAGAGACAAAATCATAAAAGTGAGCTGTTAGAGAACGCACATTTAAGTGACATAGTTTCAAGACACTTTTTATAGTGTTAGCCATAATCCACCCTTTCTTTTAGAGTTTGAACATAATTGAGAAACACAGGACAGTTTGGAAAATTAGCCGAATGATCAACTGGTAGAATCTTCTTGTATACCTTGTTATGGTTCAGGCAATTTACGCATTGTAGGGCGCTCGAGTTACACTCTTTGATTTTATGATTTCGCGTACACCTTGGGCAGGACAGATCAGCTTTACAAGATGCTTCAGAATGACCAAACGAACAGCACTTGAAACACTTTAATATGCGAAAGTGATCAGAGATAGGTGACTTTTTCCAACCAATATATAAAAATCCTGTCTTTAATAATTCCGATCTTAGAGTAGGAGTGACTTCAATTACGATGTTGATTCCGCGGGAGGATTTGAGCTTAGTGACAAACTTAAGTAGAGAACCATCAATGTTGTTGAGAGAAGCTATGTTCGAAATCAAATCATCAGGATTGCCAAGACCATCCAAATTAACGTTTCTTATAAGCAGGCGTGGATTCAGCTTCTTAGCTTCAGATATTGAATATTTAGAAGCCAATTTATTGCAAAGGTTATCTTTCAGTGTGCTCAGGGAACTGTCATCTTTGCAGTCCACAGCAATACCATTACGAATTTTTCGAGTATTATTGATGCAAACATTAAGGCTGGCTGGATTAACAGAAGACTTTACTTCACTGAGAATTGAGTTGACATCTGCCTCGTTATCAGCCTTAATCAGGAGGGTCGAAGGCTGATAACGAGGCAGATGTCAACTCAATTCTCAGTGAAGTAAAGTCTTCTGTTAATCCAGTTCATTATTTTCCTAAACGTAGGCCATTTTTTCGCACAAAATAATAATCAGACAAATGGAAGTAGGCGTACTATTAAAAGACTGATACTAGGGATCGAACCAAAGACTCCTTCTGAAAACCATACAATAACTCAAAAAGTTTGCCAAATTTAGAAAAACGATAAGAGAATAAAAGATTTTACACAGTGGTCGAGAATATAAAAAAAACTGTGTAATGACATTCTTATTTTTTTAAGTTCTAATCTTTTACTATTTCTTTTATTATGCAACTTTTATATAGGTGATTTTTGGTATATAACTCCTTTTGAAGTCCTATAAGCAGTCAAAATAAATGAGTCAACTTTGAAAATTTATAACAATGATAATATTTACTATGAAGGATTTAAAATTATTCTATGAATGTTGTTTCTTCCAAGCATGTTAATCCACGTATTTGAAATTTTTTGAAGCTTAATGTAATACGTAATTATTTTGAATCAGCTAGTGAAATGCTAATTTCTTTGATTTAGGAACATTTTTTGTACGAAACTTATATCAACTGTTATGACAATGTTTAAAATCGTGTCGCGTTCACTAATAATTTTGAGATAATGGGTGATGGTATATAAGAAATAAGATTGTTTGGTATCACATACTTGTGCGGGGTTGGAAGCGTATAGGTATGCCCTCCCCATCTCTTACAATCCCACCTCCCAATTTTTAACCGTCGCATTTTTTTTTCGGAAAATTATTAGGAGCCTCTGAAACGTTTTCTTTTTTGCTTTTGCATGTAGCTACACCGCTACTGGATAGATTGTCAAAAACTATAAAGCATTTTTGCCCTTGGCATAGTAGTAACCTTATGTCAAGATGTCATCAAAATCCGAATGGTGCTTTGCAAGTTATGGCGGGCCTAACCATTATCAGAATGACAATAATAGACCAACAGATCAATGGAAACGACTATTTACAAAGGGTACTGTAAGAGTTTTGCAATATGACTTAACAAACGGATGCAGGAGGCTGAGACATGTCCATGAGTGCATAGTAGCCGCTAACAGCACGTCTGTAGATTTAGTTGTTCATTCGTATTGACAATGTATGGCATCGTGGTCACGTAGTGCGATAAGGGTGGTTTAACGGTATAACTTTTTCGCATGGTTTAAGCATAGACCAGTGCTTAGAAGAAATGACGCTTGCATTAAAGAATGATTGTCTTCATCGTACGACTATATTCAGGTGGTACAGAGAATTCTTTTTTTTTATTTTATTTTTTTATTATTGACACTAGGATCTAGTCCCATTAGCCAGACACTTCATCTTTATTGAGAGCTACCGTGGTTATTTAAATGGAATTATTTGGGATTATTTTCTACTTTTTAATCAAACTTCTGGAAATTGGTGAAAAGTATGCTCAAAGATAGCGCTACATATGTACATACATACATACAGGTTAAGCTAATAAAAGCGTGTTGAAAAATAAAAAAAGGGTTTACCACAATCTGCCTCCTGTGAGGATTGAACTCACGACCCCTGGTTTACACGACGACCAGTGCTCTGCCACTGAGCTACAGAGGCTTGTAGTTTCACTATTCGTAAAGCGGCATTTGCAATCCGTGGCTTTTTATCAACATATATGCTTTTTACAAGGTCAATGGAAAGCTGTTATCAAATTATTGCATTGCACTTCTGGAAATTGGTGAAAATTATGCTCAAAGATTCCGTTACGCACATACTCGTACATACAGGCCAAACTAATATAAGCGTGTTAAAAATAGAAAACAACGAGAATTAATTAATTTTGAATGTTTTTTTTACTTTATGGAAGTGTTAAAATAGCAGGAATTCAAAAATTAACATGACATCAACTATATTATGTCTGTTGGTTAGTCTGTTATTGTATGTCCAGGAGTAATTATGGCCACCCTTTATCGTATACCAGGGGAGTATTCAGGGGGGCTTTTTTCTGATACGAAACAGCAATCGTATTTTCTTTAATAAATCTGTATCTGTAACTTGAAACAAGTATTTATCAGAACCTAATCGAGAAAGAATGAATGTGGAACTGATATAATCACAATCGTATTCATACATCTAGAATCAATAACTGAAAGGCATATTCTGTCGGAGCGTCGAAAAAAGTGCAAAGAACGAGAATTTTTGAGAGAAAATTTAAGAAAAGATGAGCAGTTCGGAAGCTTTCTACTGAAAATGAAGAGCAGAGAAAGTTTTGCTTAACTTAAGCATCGCTTCTGAAAGAGGATGCCGGCGATGAGAATTTCAGAAAAAAAATGAGTAGCCGAAAAAACAATGAGTCAAAATGGAGCCCCCTCCAGAACATTTTTCTAGATACGTCAGTCGCCTAAATGAATCTAAGGATTCGGACTTGATTTTTCACACTAGTGAATTAGCTTTATAACCAAATTAAATATATTTGTCGTGTTCCAGGCGAGACGCCACCATCATCCATGTAGATTAAAGAGTGTCATACAAAATAATGAGACCACAAAAGATTATTTGGTGCTCTAGATTTGACAAGCTCTAAATTGCTGAGGCCCTAATATCCAAAAGATAACAATTCAGTGATACCCTATCTGGACAACTTCATCATATTTAAATATCTGCTAAGTGGTAACCAGCTTTGTTCACTTTTCTAGACTATAAGGTAAAATTACTTGCACTTTTATACTATTATATTCCACAGGTAGAATTTCGAGAACCTTATTGCCATAATAAATCTCCTTATTCCACAGTGGTGGATCTACAGGTTTATAGGGGCATCTGTTGACCATTATTGCTGTCTTACAAAAGGCATAGCAACATAAGTTTTCCACTGGGATGAGGGAAAGTTTCAATATTTTAGTCTAAAATTGCAAATAAATGTGTAAATTTGCTATTCATGATGACTTTTTTACTTTTTATTTATGTCCTCCGTTTTCATATAATTTTTTCGGGAAGATTGTTCTTAAATCTCACACAATACCAGGCCAGTGATCAGTAATGCCCTGTCTTGACAATTTCAGCATACTGGTATTTAAATATCTGCTACCTCCTCATTTTTCCAGAGTATAAGGTAAAATTAAAGTAAGTACTTCATTATATTCCTCAGGTAGAATTTTGAGAACATTATTGCCACAATAAACAGGGTTATTTGATAGTGGTGGATCTATATGGTTTATAAAGGCAACAAACACCCTAATGTGTGAGGAAATCAAGAGAAAACAACTAGTCTACCCCTACATATTTTGTGCAAAAATTTAGGGGACATACCTCAACCTTCTACTGCAACACCTAATATTACAGTCAATTCATAAAAAGACATTTGTAACCCTTTGGAATATATAGTACCTACGCCACTGGAGTTTGTATTTACAAAGAATCTAATTATTTATTAGTAAATTTACATTTAAGGGATATGAAGGTGGATGTAAACATGCTTAGATGCTTAAATTAGTAAAGATATTAGAAAATTTGCAAGTATATGAATTAAAAACAAACCACTAAAAAGCTTTCAATAAATGACTTACCTAAGCACATAGGCATCAATCTGGTCGTTTTTCACAAAACTAATAATTTCACACCGCACGATTTTCAACAGCGACTCCAGTTTGTTTCTAGAACAATCAAACAAAAAGATTTCAGGGCTTGAGCTCATCTCAACAAAATTTAGGAGAGACAACCTTATAACTGCAAAATTGAAAATGAAAGTATGAGTGAAATCGTGAGGGCTTTCGTTTGGAAAAAGAAAATCATCAGGAAAAACATAAAATGAGAAAAAAATCGATGTTAAATTCGAACGGTGCAGTCATATGCCGGCTTTGCAGCGAAATAACAGGTGACACGAACCTGGGTATTTTACGTAAATCTGCAGATTTGCTTCCGCCGTCACCATTGGTAAACCAGATCTCGAGGAGCTTTTCAACACCCTCGAAAAACTGAACACCGTCGCCGTCTCTCATATTTTCCGTCGCGGCCATACCGGACACTACTTCGCTTGCGAACCACCGAAAAATTAATGAGGAAATTCGCCAATGCCGCTGCCTTCATATGCGCTAGCGCTAGTAAGCGTAGCAACGTTGCCAGATTTCCGAGAAAAATATCTATGATCTACTTGTGAAACCACTTTACGAAATATACACAGTGACAAAAAAAGGTTAACACCCACGTATGTTCATCAGATTTTAATAATTTGTGGCGTATATGTTCAGTGTCCCTTACTAGTAAAATGATTAAATTTTCAGATTGGTTCGTCAACTGACTGCAGAAGCTGGTTCAATATAATGTGTTGAGGATCCACGATTTCTTATACACTCATTGACACGACTGGGCATCATGCTGATAAGGTGGTCGATATCATTTAACTGACACCTTAAATTTACGAAAACTGAATGCATCTTTATCGCCAAACTATACACGCAACCAACACAAAAGCTTAACAGAAAAATCTGATCATTTTATCACTTGTTGTTCATGGCAAGATAAATCTATATGAGAAAAATTCTTGAATTCTAATAAACATACGTAGGTGTTAACCTTTTTTTGTCACTCAGTATAGTACCTAATAGTACTCACACGCCTAGGTTTAGAAGGAAGCCATTATTGGTTGAGCACTTCAATATTTTGAAACAGATGACGCCAAGGTATATAATGTGCAAGATTCTCAGACAAGGTTCACTACTTACAGTATATGGTACATATATGTCACTTCATTGGTTTTCAAGCCAGTTATACATGACACATTTCATTTTAGCAGTTATTGGTCCGCTTTGAAACATTGTGTATTAAGTTGCTACAAGAAGTCTCCTATCTTAAGGCTCCTCTACACGTTGGCCAATCCGCTGGCCAACGCATTGGCAAGGTCATTGGACTATCTGTCCGCATGTTGGAACTGTTGGAAGGATGTTCAGTTTGTTTCGACGCAGGCCAATATGAGAGTAGCAGGATTCCAAATACAGTTTTCGGTCTGGTAAAGTTCTATGAATTGAAAAACTTCTTCGTTACTCATCGTCACCATTATGTACTATCAAATACACAGTGAACAGTCACAAAATCTCTAAGCAGCACAGAACAAAAGCACTTAAAAACACCCGTAGCCAGTGAATTCCCAACGTGTGGTCGAGAATACCAGCATCCGCCAGTTCCAAGGCCAACGCCTTTGATGCGTCTTGAAAAACCGACACCACGACGGATCGGTCGCCAACGCTTGGACCAGCTCTGCCAATGGCGCCAATACGACCGACAGTATCCTCTACACGCTGGCCAATAAACATTGGCCAAGGTGTAGAGGAGCCTTTACATTTATAATTTGCAATTGCAAATTGCAAAACATTTCTTATGTCGCATTCACATATTGGGTCAATACCAATGTGTCAACGTTAAGTTAAACCAATGCGCATCGGCCGGGGTTGGCCAACGTTGCCGCAGAATCATAACATGTTAGTGCCAACCTTATAGGCTCAAGGTTGACTCCGAGGTGTGAATGCGACATTAGATGCAGGTAAGTTTCATGTTATATTTTTAGTTTTAACATTTTCGTTGTTTTAAATGTTTTTTATATTGCATGATGTTTCATCACTTTCGCGCATGCCTAGGGCTTGTCTGTCCAAGGATGACAACTTTTAGTTGGCCCCTTTTATTCCTGATTCAAACATCAAACATAAATAGAGTAAAATTCGCCGGATTTATGTGATGTTTTGTCATTCATGAATTGCTTAGTCAATAGTAAGTTAAAAAAAAGATACAAAAAATAAACTGTTTTTTTTTTCAGCAGCAGCACGACAAAAACCCAACCTTGTTTTTATTTGAGTTATTTTGTTTTAAACTAGTTTTACAATTTTATAAAATAAAACGAATACGGTTAGTTATAACTTTATTAAAAAAAAACTTCGGTATCCAGTGAAATTAACGATGATGTGCACTATCATAGCTGCTACCTAAAATAAAAAAAATTGATTTAGATTTCATATCTAAAAAATGACAAACATGTTTTTGACCTTACTTTTCGACGCAACTTATGCATAACGTCTTCGTGCGGGCATGATTTACGCAAATAAATTCTCGACATTTATCCCACGATGAGCTTTCTTTCTTTTGATTTTTAGAATATGGCCATATTTTGCACCTTCCCCTCCACTGGTTCCTGAAGTCTGGAAACTTTACAAATGACACTACGACGTTCTCTCGGTAAACATGCTGAGCTTTACGAGTCAAATGGTCCTTAATAAGTTCTTGACCTAAAGTGGTTAGAAATAATTTTTTGCGCCTCCGCTTCAAGTTCTTTCTGTGTCAGAGCGCGTGTATTGCCCCTACACCCCGCCATTTCAAATACCCTACATCTGCCTAACTCTGCAGTGGTAACAGATAAATTAATGTAATTTTTGTGGATCGATAAATCACCTACCGGTCGAAGATTATCAGAACGCGCGCAGCGCGCCATAAATATTTTGGTAGCGAAACTTGGCATACAAAATGTTGAGGATCAAATTTGACCCCGCTATGGTACTTCAGGGATATAAACGAAAGAAATAATCTACTGCAATTGAGATGACTTTATATTATTGTAATATATTGTTGTCATAAAGATTTCTATGTCACCATTAGTCGGACTTTTATTACTACAACTGGAACATCAATTTTATTTAAAAATGCGACCTGAAACAACTGGTGTTTTAAGGTGGGCCACCTTAAGCTCGCATTCGCAAATTATTTGAGTTTAGGAAAAATATGAATATAATTTTCTTTAGATATTTAAGTAAATCGTGCAATCTCCCACGTAGGGCCCTGAAAGCTAAAAAACTTGTCATAAAGTTATAAGTAAAATCTGTGAATTATCCCCTAGCAGATTAGGTTTTGGTGCCCTGCGCGGAGGATTAGACAATTTAGTTTGTAACGTTCCAAAACATACATTTGGACACGTCCCAGAAATAAGACATTTGGAAGATTTCGAAATGTCCGAACAATTATGGTTTGCAACACTGCTAAAAAACAATTCTTTGAAACGTATATTTGCTACTGTAGCTGGAACATTTATATCATAAGGGATCCGGAAATGTTTCGACAATGTTAGCGTAACCCAAAATTGCTTATTTCACGTTGCTCACAAAATGTATCATAAAATATTTCTAATATATAAAAATGATTATAGGGATACTGACCATGGAGATTTCTCAAATACCCCGTGTCACAACAGGAACAAGAACATGCTTTAAGTGGCGGCACCTAGACTGGACGCATTTTAGGGCCGTATCGTCAGTGGTTCCTACAATTGTATAGTCAACGCCAAACAAAGTGGCGTGCACGTCATCACGATAAAAATTCCCCGACCTAATGCCTAGGTTTCTATCACAAACAATTGCTCTATTGCAGTTTCATATTAATGTGATATATAAATTGTAAAATGGTCATTACTCTCTTATTATGGTTAATAGTCATATAAACATTGTTATTAAAATATCACATAAGTTGCTTTCTGATAAATTTAGACGCATTATGCGAAATAAAATGTTTTGCAAACGCTCCAATCACTTATCGACATGTAAACGCACTAAACCGATTTCGCAGCGTTGACACATTGTCACCTTGAAACTTATTTAAACTGGGAACTGACATTTGTATTAATTTTGACACTGAATCAATTTGTGGCATTTCAAATCTTTATAAATCCTTTGGCCCCGCATACTGTAAATCAACAACTGTTTGCTTCAAAACAAAATTATTCATTTTACGAGTAGATAAAGGCAATTTTGGTATATAAAGATGCCCAAACAGTTAAATAGTCGGTGTAAGGAACTCGTGGCCTCGTTAATGCACTACTTTGAGCAAGAAAGGGACAACAACGGGCCTTTGTTGCCTTTAAATGCTGTTCAAGAGGTAGGTTACTAATAATTATATGTAATGTATATTAATAATAGTGAAATTTTATTTCATTTTTTGTAGCGTGTTGCTGCTGCTTTAAAAATTAGTTTAAGGACAGTTAGTCGTATTTCCGAGGGTGTGAAAAGTGATGCAAATTTAGAATCGCCCAAGAAAAAGCGGAGTTATATTAAACGTGTAACCAACACAGCGACATTGGATACAAGTGCCATTCGAGAAGTGATCTATAATATGTATCACAAAAGTAAGATCTTATTATAATAACTTATCAGAAATTTGCATTAATTTGTTAACTAAATTATAATGTCATATTACACATGGTTTCAGAAGAACAAGTTACGATACAAACTTTATGGTCTCGATTAAGAGATAGGGCATTATTTGATGGTAGTGCCACGTCTTTAAGGCGGTTGCTTAGAGATCTTGGATTTAAGTGGCTTAAGGACAATCCGCGACGAGGGCTCATGGAACTACCAAGTATAGCTTTGAAAAGGGTGGAATTTCTAAGGCAATACAATCAAGCCAAGGTTGAGGCCTTATACCAGTTTGTCTTCCTCGATGAAACTTGGATATTTCAAAATGGGACCATAGGTCGCTCTTGGCAAAATGGAAACCAAAAAAGCGTGAAAGCTATTAAAACAGATGGTAAAAGGTATGTACTTTTACACAATTTGCACTATAAAATTTAAAACTAATATATTTTAGATACATTATATTACATGCTGGAAATGAAAATGGGTTTATTGAGGGTAGTGAAGCGATATTTTCTTCGAAAATAAAATTGAGCGATTACCATGGAGAGATGAGCCAGGACAATTTTTTGAAATGGTTTCAACATCAGTTATTAGAAAAATTGGAGAGTCCATCTATGATTATACTGGATAACGCCCCTTATCACAGCATGATATTGAACAAAGTGCCCAACAATGCATGGACAAAAAAAATATCCAAGACTGGTTGACAAATCAAAACATACCATTTTTAAACACAATGTTTAAAACAGAGCTATTGAGTATTGTTGCTCGGTACATAATGCTTCTTAATTATATATATTTTGGTCGACAGTTTATATTTCTTTTGTTTATTCCTATTCTTAAAATAACTGCTTTTTTAGAAACAAACCACCTAAAATATACGTGATTGATGAATTGGCGGAACAACATGGGCACAAAGTTCTTCGTCTGCCTCCTTACCATTGTATATTTAACCCTATTGAGTTAATTTGGGGCATAGCAAAAGGTTACTATAACAGACATATTGGTAGAGATGGTAACAGTGAAAAAGACTGTTTGGATATGTGGAACGAGGCTCTACAAACGGTTACCCCAGACATGTGGAAAAATAGTGTTCGACATACTGAGCAAGAAATTTTTAAATGGTATGAAAGAGAACGAATTTTTGATCGACCAGACATCGAACCTTTAATAATCAACTTTGAGAGTGATGAAGATTCAGATTCAGACAGCGCTGAAGAAAGAAACTCCGACTAACTTTATTGTACAGAAAAAGCTTACACCAGTAGCTTACCTAATTTTAGAATGCATTTTTCTGTATGAATTCTGTAAAGTAATGCATAAAATTTGGAGGACCCCATTTGGATTTTTATTCAGTACCTTTAAGCTATCAATTAAATATGGTAGTTTCATAGTGTCATCTGATCAATAATTGTCATACTTAATGATTATGCAAGTACAGATCTATAATTTTATTATACTATTATTTTTGTTCTCATTTGAGGTTAATCTTGCTTATAAACCTAGATATGTAAATAATAAATTTTATTATTTTACAAAAAGTTTGGCAACAATGTAAATTTTTCAACACACCCACCTTGATGACGTGCACGCCACTTTGTTTGGCGTTGACTATAGGAAGCCTTTATGATCCTTCAGAAAGGCTGGGGTATTTCTAGATTTTTACTGTTCCGTGTCGGCGTCAGCGCTATCCTATTGGAAAGTTATGTTTTCTTTTTGAATTGTAAGACCTTTTAGGCTGATAAAACAGATGATAAAAATCAAAAACAGGAACAGTTTGATCCAAATAGATATTTGTAATATAACCTCAAAATAGAGCGCCTGTCTGAAGGAAAAACTATGAAAATCAAGGAGGTCATAAAGGCGTCCTACAATTGTAGGACCCCTTGATTTTGATAGTTTTCTACTAATTCGTGCCAGTTCTCTATTTTGAGGTTATGTCACAAATATCTATTTGCATCAAATTGTTAATGCTTTTGATTTATATCATCTACTTTATCAGCCTGAAATGTCCTACAATTCAAAAGAAAACATAACTTTCCAATAGGATAGTGCTGACGCTGACAAGGAACAGTAAAAATCTAGAAATACCCCAGCCTTTCTGTAGGAGAGAAAAGGCTATGAAAATCAAGGAAGCCAAAAAAGCGTCCTACAATTGTAGTGTATCTAGATTTCTACTGTACCGTATCACCGGACTCCTAATTATATTTCTTTTTGAACTGAAGGGAATTTCAGGTTGATAAGACAGAAGATGAAAATCAAAAGCATGAACAATTTGATGCAAATAGATATTCGTAACGTAACCTCAAAATAGAGCGCCTTTCTGAAGGACAGGAAAAACTATGGAAATGAAATAGGCCATAAAATCGTCCTACAATATTATTCCAACAAAATTAGACTGACGGACGCGGATTCACAGAAAATATGAAACACTTGGCTGCTCCGCATTCTTGTTTATCAAGAGGGAAATTTGACTCTAGAGATTTGTAAATTCTGACGTATTTCATAAGACATTCCTGCTTGTATTAACAATTAAATTTATCTTGCGTGCGGTATAATATCTATTATTTGCATATTGCCTAAACTGAATCAGTGTCACTTTTTGATCAATGATTTGTATTGAAATGCTACGTTGTCAGATCAGAAAAAATGTAGTTAAAAACAAAAAATGTATAAAGTGAAATAACTTGAAAGAATTATATATTTTTATTAATATTCTGAAATAAAGGAATTCAAGAAGCACAAACATACTTTGTATTATGATAAAGAGTTCCACTCCGCAGTTAATAGTTTTATAAGAAGCCATATTTGCACCATTGCGTTAAGGCTGGCAACATTGTACGGATTGCATGTCGACTGTCGATTTTTTTTTGATGATGGTGTGTTTTGGTTATATTTGTTTTCATTTTAATTTTCAGCAATAAAATGCAACAAAATAATTAATAGCTAGCCAAGTTTTGGAACTGTGATCAAAGAAATAAAGTCGTATGTAGTGCATCTATACTTAACACCATGGATTTTGCTCGGAAACAGCTCGAAAAATATGGTTGGAGTGAAGGTGATTAGCTTTCACATTTTTGGTATTTTCACTTTGAATTCCATAATATTTTGAGTAAAGAAAGAAGAAGTAACGTATGTGAAAATTATACAATAGAAGTTGTTTTACTGTTTTGTATTATTTCCAATTTTATCTGATTTTATAAAATTATATTAATGATAAAGGATCATTATGTGGTCTGCTTATTGCATTCTTATTCTTGCATTTCTACTTCTGTTAATTTTACACATGTGTACACTAGAATTCTTCACGTTTTTAGTTCAGTTTGGTTTAGTTCACATGTGACTTGTTATTACACCAAATTTTTATTTATATTTTCTTTATTTCCAGAACTTGGTATAATACAAATCAAAATTGTTCTGGCTATAGTTCATTTCTCTTTTTATAATGTTTTTTCATAACAATGGCTGTAATTCAAGTATTAGTATGATTAAAAAAGTAGAGTACTACTACTCTACCTTGATATTTATATAAATCTATTTATTTTTTGATAACCAAAAAGTTATGAAACATAACAGTTTCATATTTTTTAAAACTGTTCGGCTTCAAAATCATTTGATTATGCCACCAGATGGAAACAAACTCAAAAGACATTTGAAAATGATGTTTGGTCAAGTTCTGAAATTTGTCATTTTATCATCATATCAATGAAATACTTTCCGAGTTATAGAAATCAGTGTTTACTGAACAGATAGAATCAGGTTGATAAAAATTAGTACCATGTTTTTTTGTTATTTGTCATGTAACATTAAAAAAACAAATTTCTTATACTTTTTAATTCTTTTCTTTGAAGTTATCAAGACAACATTTTTCTTTTTCTAATTCTATCTCAATTTAATAGAAATGAGGAATAAAACTAAAGTTTCATTTTTTTATCAATTTTATTTTGCATTTCAACATCCTTTGTATTCTCCAACATAATTTATGAATACAGAGTGTACTCAATAGGTAAAGGCTTAGGCAGAGAAGAAGATGGAATTTCCACCGCGCTCAAACCAAAACTCAAATTTGACAAGGCAGGACTGGGCCATAACATTGGTGATGAATATAAAAACAATTGGTGGGAGAAGGTGTTTAATAGTGCAGCCAACAACATAGATGTTGAAGCCAACAATGATGAAGTTAAAATGAAACTAAAATCAAATGAACCATTAGAAATATCCACAAGAGGATATTCTTCAAAGAAGAAAAAAGATGGAATGAAATATGGTTCATTTATGAAAGTTTCAAAATTAACCCAAAATGGAATAGAACGTTATGGCCTATTAGATGAAGACCCTGAACCTTCAAGTAGTACCAAGGCTGTTAATAATCCGTTTCTGCCCCTTACAGATGAGGAACTTTTTGCTGCTTGTGGTGGCAGAACTGCCCATAAAGGTGCTCGGCATGGGATAAAGCTCAGTGGAAAGCTATCTAGGTATTTTTGTGAAGCATATATGTTAGTGGTACAGAAGTTGTATATATTGCTGAAAAATATCTGATTTATGTAACTTCTGAAATTAATTCTGTTTGGTCCAAAATCTTCAACCTGGCCAATAATTTATTCACAGATGAAAATGACTACTGATATTTCAGCTACTGCAACTGATATTGACATTATTTATTTGAATCTGAACATAATTTAAGAAAAAATGATGCCAAGTAGATTGATAAGTCTTCTACATGGTTGTCCTACTTTAAAAATTATTTTCTTTATATCAAATTTCATGTAATAAAAGGATATGAGGATTTCAAAATCATCACAAAATTCACCAAATGAACTACAAAGACCCTAAATATTTTCTAAACACACCTCAAATGATATGAGTTCTAAAAAGTTCATTCCAATTAAATATCTTTCAGCTGATATTACTAGAGAGGTAGTGCCTACTCATTTAATACTATTTCTTTGGCCGCCAAGGGACCAATTCTAAAAAATATATTTTTTGTCGCGGATTTTGTTTTTTATGTTTTTTTGCTGACATTGTCACTGGAGCGACTTTCATAGTTTGTAGTGTGGTGACCTGGGTTATCAAATTTGAACTAGTCCCAACAGACTCACTCCTGCAGTGGCCGATTCTGGTACAATGTGATGTCTTATTTCAAATGAATTTGCGAGAAAAATTCGTAAAAACAAAATGCTGTCAACATGCGATTTCTGATTAAATAAATGGTTCGATTACGTGCGGATTATGCTATCTTTCATTTGATGGCGATAAATATTGCTGCAGTTACAAAAGAGACATGCAATTCAAAACTTGCCTTTGTGGCAAGATAGCATAGAGCTCCAACAACAAATCAGACAAATATATCTTTTAGATATTTATTAGAAATAATTGAATACGATTATCACTGCATCAGGTCCATATTCATTCTTTCTGGATCAGATTCGAATATTTTTAGTTCCCAACTACAATGAATTGATTCCCTTTTTTCCCCCTATTCGCCGCATATGTACAAAGAAAAATGACTTAACGTTAAATTATGTCAAGCCTAAAATCACAATTTCAGAATTGAGAAGCAAGAAAAGATGCTGTTGAAAAAAATGAGAAAGGTCTCGTTGTCCGATGACAACGAAAAAGAAAAAGGAGTTGCAGAGAAAAAACTAAAAAAGCTAAAGAAGCAGAAAGGGCAGAACAGAGAGAAATACACTCCCATAAAAGAGGACAGCATGGAGAGTGTGTGCTCAAATGGCCTAAGGATGAAGAAGAAACGAAAGAGTGTCTCATTCAATGATACTGTGACTGTGACAAAGTATGCTGTGGATCCAGATCCTGACACTAATTTAGAAAGTGAAGCCTGCTCTACCAGGGATGAAAACATCAATGACCAGAACTTGGAAGGGATAGCCAGCGGATCTGATGAAGGTACAGACATTCATTTAGTTATTTGAGGTTCTGAGGAAAAAACTGAAACATTACATTTAATTGCTTCCTATATTAAACAGATTGCCATACTGACTTCTCTATTCGCGCCCTCATTGGTTTCTCCGTTCTTGAGATTTTGTAGTATGACACTTTTAAAATTTGCTTTTATTGTTACAATTTTCATAATTGACAGCGCGTCTTGGTCCATTGCAAGGTAGGACTTCAATAAAATCGGGTCAAACCATGAAGACTAAATATCGGAGGTGAAACTGCCTAAGAGAAGACACGTACTCATACGAAGCCAATACTGTCGATAAGGAGGGCGCACGAGAAAAAGATAGAGAGATGCCACATGCTCAGAACCTGAAATACATTTCTGACGCAATGGGTCAATTCTTCGGTGGTTGTCAGAGCGGTCCGTGGGACCTTAGCTCTTGAGTCATAGTGTGAGTTTGTAAGTCAGTTAGGTCTGATAACCCAGAAACCAGACAATCTTAAGGACACTCATTGGATATAGTAGATAACTTGCTTTCATTTTAGACCCTTTTGGTTTCACCCCCACTCTATGGGGTTCTCACCCTTGGAAATTTTACTCTGAATAGGTATCTGTGAATTGGGTGAAGACTCGTTGTTTAGGTAAACCGTTTGCGTAGATTCCGAACAGTGTTGCCGATCCGAAAAAGATCAAATCGGTAGACAGTGTCGTAGAAATTCGGTGGATTCAAGGACAAAATCGGTATGAAGAAACTTTTTTGAAATTGTACTGCTTCCCATTTCTCTGTCGGTTGACCTAGACCTGTATATTCTCTATTAAGTGATATTAGAAAACTTTATATACACATGACTCTGAAGGAACGGACCAAGCTCCTGGAATAAAAAGCGAAACGTAGACAATTGGGACCTTATCAGATTTTCATTAGTTATCCAATTATGGTAATTCTGAAAAATGAACTTGTTCATCTGTAGTTCCATTTAACCTATATTTATCTTACAACTAACATTAAAAACTTTTCTATCGTGTGTGTGTTAGTTTTTTCTTTCATGTTTTCTTCCTTTATGTTTCTTTTGCTGTCACTGTTTTTGTACTTTAATTTATTTGTCACTTCTTTTTCTTCTATCATGTGTGCATGTCTTTTATCTTTTCATGTATATATATTTTTCTCAACTCCATTGTTTTTTATTTATATCAAATTTTTTATATGTCACAATACTCATTATGTATAATCATACTCTTAATTAATAATACTTTATGACATAATTGTTGAACTTGAACTTATATGCAGGCAAGTATTTTATTAAACAATAGATCTACATTATAATAATTACAACTGTAATCTTTGGGAAGACTGATTAAAGACCTAATCAGTTTAGAGTTTTTTCTGCAAAAAGCCAATGGCAGTGATGTCAAATTTTGCTCCCACTATGCTGCGTTTGTATGTTTGGCGTTTAAACTGTCAAAACTAGGAGCAGGTAAAGAACAGATTTTATAGAAACATAATCTATTTTCACAACTTCATCCCATTTTGACGTCTAATGACGTGAACAGCTGATCAGCAATTGGCATCTTCGTCTGTTTATAACCGTGGATACAACCAACGTCTCATTAGACCTAATAATACAAAGACATCAAGGAAAATCAAACTTAGAAATTTAGTGATTGATTCGTTCGTATCATTGTATTTCTACATAGCCTTATACATGAATAAATATTGACCGCTACATGTTACATAAATATCACATTCCATTCCACTAACTGATCACAGTAAATACTCATCGTGTGACATTCGCCTAATGGCTCTGATGAGTGACCAACTAGGTGAAATACTTTTGCGAAAAAGAAAATGTCGTATTCATTTTCCCTAATTTTCTATAGTTGACCAACTTACCAGAGAAATTAGGTATAACTGACACTACGAGCCCCTTCCCACTTCAGTTGGCCCAACTATTGAAATCTTAGTTTTTTTCTTATCAATCACAGCTATCAGAATACGTTTAAAATAGTTTTGGGTAGTTAAGGTTTTCAAAATGGGTAGAGGAAAGGTGATTAGTGAGAAAATTCTGTTACTGATAATTAATTTTTTTAATTCTGGGAAATCAAACTCAGAAATTGCAACTTTGTTAGACTTATCGCGGTACAGTGTGAGAAATATTGTTAGAAGATATAACGTAACTGGCCAGTTAATATTAACCCACGATATGTGAAAAAAAGTAATATCACAAATGCCGACCGAAGAGCATTAAGAAGAATAATCGTGAAAAACAGGCGTGCCAATTATTTACAATTGAGTGCTCTGTAGAGTGACGCTGTTGGAAGGAGAATTTCGAGGTCCACAACTCATAGAGAGGCCCACAAACTGGGATTTACCACTTGCAAGGTAATTTTTCTTATAAAAAAAGTGAAGTAAAATCCCTAAAGTTGCACAACTTGTTTATAGGCCAATGAAAAGCCACTATTAACTCCATTGCAAACGAAAAATCGGCTTAGATGGGCCAAAGAACATAGACAATGGACACCTCAGCAATGGTGTGCAATACAATCGAATGATGAGGCCCGATTCGAAGTTTGTGTTGGTGACAGTCGCAGTAGAGTTATTCGCAAAAAATGAAGCATTCCATGTTGACTGTCTGAAGAGAAAAGTGAAATTTCCAGCATCCATTATGATCTGGGGCAGTATGTCATCAAAAGGAGCAGGAAAACTTCATTTTATTGATGGAAATGTGGATACAAACAAATATTTGTCAATTTTAGAAGAATGGCTCTTACCAGTGATGGAAGAATGTTTGACATCCGGCCAAGATTTTGTGTTTCAGCAAGATGGTGCAGCGTGCCATACCGCAAAAAAGGCTATAAAATGGATGAAAGAAAATAATGTACCACTTTTGAAATGGGTTTCTAGCAGTCCAGATCTGTTACCTATTGAAACTTTGTGGCACGATATGAAAAAGGTTCTACGACAACATCCTGCTCGTACAATCACCGAACTGAGACAGAAGCTTCAAGAAATAAGGGATTGTTTTACACCAAATTTTTGCCAAAACTTGGTTAACACTATGCCCCAAAGAATTTCAGCTGTAATAAAAAATAAAGGTGATGTTACCCAATGGTAATCTTTCAATTGTTGGTTTGTTAACTTCGCGCATTTATTCGCACATTATTTATTTGTTCAGATGTTCTATTATTTGTAGGTCTAAGTGATTTCAAATATGTATTTTTTACGACTAGAGTGTATCTAAAATGTTTTCGAGAAAATAAATTGTTTTAAAAGTAAATAGTTTCGTCAAGTTTAGTTTATAAAGGCATATTTTGGTACAAATCTTGAAGTGGGCCAACTGAAGTGGTCACATTTTTACAATTCCTTTGACCTTATTTTTCAATATGTTTTAGCCCAGTCTTTTTTGATTTTGTTGTGTGTGTTTTTCTCTATGTTCATTTTTTGTGGCTTATTTGTTGTTTTAATATATTTATTTATTTTTTCGATCATATCTATTACACTACACCTTATACATACAGTTAATGCTACTTGATAACATCCTTTTTATTGGTCATCCAAAGTAAATATATCAGAATATGCAAGTCTTTACAAGTATTCTCTAGAACTACAATAATTACAACTGGCATCTTTACCACCGATGAATGAAGACGCAATCAGTTTAGAGCTTTTTCTGCAAAGAGCCAATTAGATCAGATCATGCAAAAAGGAAGAGAAAAAATAAAGTTGGAAATCAAGCATAATATAGAGGCGAATTATGCAGATAAAACTTTTACCTATATACGGTTCCGCTGAGTAATAAACTATATTAATTACTTTCTATAGTCGATCAGGGCTCTTAAGTATAACTGATATTACTATCTTAATAGTATCACGTCACATTTTTAAGTTTATTTTACTTCATTTTCTCAATCTGTATTTTTGTTCACCCACAGTGTTTTTGCCTTTTACCAGTTTTTTATTATGTTTTATCTTTTTTGTACACCGTGTTTTTTATTAGCTATTTTTGTATCTTTTATGTATGTTTTTTCATTTTTTATATTTTTTTGTACTTTTCTTGATACTGTGTGACTTCCCTTTTTATAGGTTTTCTTCTTTTGTTTTCGATCATATCTATTACATTGCACCTTATTATACACTCAGCTAATACTATTCTTTGGTCGTTTTCAACTTACATAATTTCTTAAAACAGTACAAGTATGTTCAGGTATTCACTTGACCTACTATGTATCCATTATGCTTTTATAATAAATAAAATTGCTTTGAAAAACTATAATTGATTCTTATTAAATGTAAAATTCAGTCAAATATCTGTTTCTTTAATGGTAACTGGAATTTTGCCAGGGCCTGCTAAAGGCCCAATCAGTTTTCAGAGTCTTTTCTGCAAAAAGTCATTAAGACTGCAACGTATCAAACCGATTATAAAACCGTATAAAAATCTGGTATCTACCTGCATAAGTAATTTTGCATGTAAACCTTTTTCTATTAAAGGCTCTGGTCGGTAACCAAGTGTAAATAAATTACTGTTGCGGAATAAAGTATTTGATATAGGTGTTAATCATGGACATAGTTCTCCTCCTCCTTAACTGTCTATAGTCAAACAACTGGGCAAAGCCACCAGGTATAACTACAGTTCTACTATCTAACTTTAGAGTAGTTTGACATCAAATGCTTTTCTTAGTGACATTTTTTCATTTATTTTATTTAGCCTTTTCAATCTTGCATATTTTCATTCATTTGTATATTTTAAGAGTAGATATTTTTTTGTTTCCGTGTCATTTCAATCCTGTTTTTTCTAATTTTCATGTTTTTTCTATGACTTTGTATCTTTTACGAGTAGATTTTTTGTGTTCCTGTTTTTGTTCTTTCATGTCATTGTTTTTTACCTGATCTCATTGATTTTTCTCAATATTTTGATTACATTATCCTTATTTTACATATAGATAGATAGATAGTTTTTATTTGTTCCAAAAGTAACAGACAAGTTACAATAAAATAAGCTTAAAGCTA